TTCTTGAATGGGGGGGGGGGGAATTTGGGCATATTTATTTTACCAAATAGTGCTTTTTCTCTTTTTAACAGAAATTTTTATAGGCAAAGAGAGCAGGAGAAAATGGCTTGGTACATAGAGGCAGGTTAGAAGTTAGAGCTTTTGGATAGAAAAAATGACAAGTGGGAAATAAAGCGTCTGGTTTTGAAATCTTTCCCAGTTGGTTTTTGTTTCTGACTAATTTGTTGTAACCTCCAGTGTGGTTTAAAGTTTATAAAACACTTGTAGTCAGTTTTCATGTTCTAGTGGTCTTAATAGGAACTCTAATACCATACAGTTAAAGATCTGCTAATACTTTTCTCAAGAAATTATAAACCAGTTGTTCAGTGGTACAGATTTGCTCTGTTTAAAACTGTTAAAAGTGAACACGATTTCCCTTTGATGACTTGGGGTTAGAGTGCCAAGGGACAAAACCATAAACATGAAAAAATCCCTATTGTTTTGTAGTTTTTTTGTGTTTTTTTTCTAAATGGCTGTGGATGATTGAGATATTGTCAAGAGCGCACTACACATATAGAACACGATTGTTCATAGTAATACTGAAAACATGGAGCCTTTCTTTTATATCTTTACTTGTACTTGGTGAAATTTAAATTCTATGTTAGTAAAGAGACTGGAGAATTTAGTTTTTGTTGTTGTTGCTACTTCAGTAGACATACAGTGAGTTTTACCTGTTGTTTGTGTGAGTTGAGTATATTGTAGGGGTGCATGGAATTGGTTCTGTGTTATAAAAATGAATTGCTGGGTGTATGCTTGAATGATCTACAGGTCCCTTCTCCCAATTCAGGACAGTCTATTTGTTTTTGTCATCTGTAAGAACAGTCAGACTAACACACGTTTAGGAGATTGAAAGGATATTAAAATGCAGCCATGCAAAATGTATCAGTCTCCTGAAGGATCATGTAAAATGTAACTGACTGGGGCAGAGAACTTAGAGTCTATGGCCACTAAAACACTTAAACTTTAATAGGTTACAGATTTTTATTAGTATAATTATTTTTAAGATATGAAATATGAGTTTATTTTTAAGCATTATGATTTATTATTTTTATGAAACATGACTATTTGAATTAAGTTATATTTATAACAGAAGAGTCTTAATGTTGGGTTGTTCCTTAAATTTTATTCTTTCATTTCAAACCTAAATTCAATTGTGAAAGTTTTTAATCATTTTATTATTTATGTTAGAAAGAATCAGTAATTGGAATACACTGTAGGTCTATAGGAAATTTTGGCAATAATTATTCAGTGACTCATGTAAAAATTATCCATTTTAAAAACATACTCTTTTAGATATCTTCCAGAATATCAGATTGACATAAAGCAGATCTTAAAAAAAATTAAAAGCAGTTGAATCATGACTATTTTATTTTAAAAGTCAACTGGAATCGTTTTTCTTCCTCACATTTTTTTTTTCAAGTCACTTGCTGATGAAGAAATGTCTTTATATTTAGAGTTCAATACTCAGGTCCTGATGGATCTCACCAGGGTTACTTATCTTTATTTCAGTACAATAAATGGATTGCTAATCTTTTCCCGTCACTGTTTCCAAGTAGATGATGGATTTTTGTTTCAGTTTACAGTTCATTGTTTTTAGTATGGTTGTACTTTATTATACACATGAAGGCTTATTACAGAAAAAAATCAGAGTCACCTTCGTTACTCCTTTTGTTTAATAATTAAAAGCTCTATTTTATTTGTAGAAAAATGACTTTTTAATATTTAACATACATCAGCTATGGAGAGCTTGTTTGATTGGTTTGTAAGTGTGCTATCATCTTTTAGTTAATATTTTCTTTGTGTATAATCCTGGTTCTTAAAAATCACAGCAATTTAAAGAAAGTTAAATATCATTCTATTACCTTCAATATGTTTTGACTCTTTTGAGTGTTTATGGGAAGTTCTAAGAGTTTTTCTTTCTTTTTTTAAGCAATAACTGAAGGTAATTTGTTTGTAGTTTAAGGAGATTAATAAACTAAAAGTCAAATTATTAGTCTCCTTTTGGCCAATTTGTTTTAAAATCAGAATTTTAATGTGTTCTAAAAAAATAATTAATTCAGATAGTTAAAAACATTACAGGGTGGATTAAATAATTACTTCCCTCGCTTGCATACATTTATTCCAACAAGACTTGAATGCATGATATATTTCTAGCTCTTTGGACGTAATGGGAAAAATCTTTCTGAATGTTTTGCAAAGAAAACATAGTCTTTCTCAGCAATTAGGTCTTATTGATGAGAGTGAGATAATTTTATCCTAATGTGTTTTCTAATAAAGAAGTGAAAAGGCACATTTGATTCCAACATTTATGAAAACATTATCTCAATTATTAATGTGCTCTTTTCCCTTGAGATAAATTAATCTAGTTGCACATGGTTTCCCCTTTCTGCTTAACATCAGAATTTAATATGACTGGACCTGAGGAATGTACACAGTGTGTACTTAAAATTCTACTGGAACAAAATACGGAAGTTTAAAATAAAGTTCCAGTTTAAGATAGGCTAGAAGTACTCAGGCATTTCAATTCAAATTCTGATTTGACAAGAAATTTTAGCAACAATGACAAAATAAATTGTACTTATTTTCACCCTAAAAAAGTTATTCTGCTAATTGAAATAATGTAGCAACTTGTTAGGATTACAGTCAAGGTACTAGAAAGGGATTTGATTTTATAGAACCTGTCTTCTCTTTGCCCGAGTAAACTCCAGTGTCTCATTTTCACTTGTACTACGTGGAAACTTTCATTATTTTTCTTCAGAAAAGCAAGAGGGATAACATAATATGATTCTCTTTGTGGTTTGATGTTGTGCCATAATATTTTAGATTTAGTAAGAGTTTTGCTTTTAAGCAAATGGTCTATTTTTCATCATTACCATTTAGCTTAAGTCAAAAGACATTAATGAAAACCAATATTAAAAATATATTACACATGGCTACATGTTTATATTTCAAAACCATGATAGGTAATTGGTACTAGAAGGAAATGAATTGATTTTATATTTTAAATGTATTTTATGTTTCTATAAATGACCCAATTCCATTTGTAGTACTGTACCCATTTGTATATATTTAGATGTTGAAAAAAAAACATTTAAAATTAATTAATTTAAATTAAAATAATTTTTTAATTAAATTAAAATCATTTAAAAAGTTGTTCCAGTGATAGTACTATAACTATATACTCCATATTTTGCTTTATCCACTTTGGCTCATTTTTGGCTTGACTCATCAGAACACCAGGGGATAGAATTATGTGGCTGTCGCAGTTATATTGAAGTAAAATTTGTGTTTCTTAATAATTTATCAGTTAATGTACTAGACTCCTTGTCAGCTTGGTTTTGAATATGTCAGTTTTATGAAATCCAAATAATTTTCCTTAAAAATAAACCATAGTAATGTTACTGCTATGTTTTAAATTATGCAGGGTAACAGCTGGTGTATCTCTCTGGTTTTGCCTCATTTGATTTGAAGATGTCTTTTATAGTGGTG